GTGCCACCGAGAAGGCCGAAGACCACCATCCCTTGGGGTGAAGTATGGTGGGGACCCTAAGCAATTAGGGTTCTTCCTGGCTCAAGTCTGGACCTACATGCAGGAATATGGTCCAGAAATAGCCACTAAAGGGGCAAAGGGACAGTGTGTAATCATGGCGCTGGAGGGGACCACAGCCGAGTGGATAGTTACCCTCCACAACAACGATGCCCCAGAGCTACACAACTTCGACCACTTCATGGGGGCACTCTGAAAGTGTTTTGAAGACCCCTTGGCTGGTCACGAAGCCAGAACTAGGATCAAGACCGTAAGCCATGGCCGTCGATACGTAACTACTTACACCCAAGAATTCCGCAACCTGGCCTGCTGACTTACTGACTGACTGCAAGAAATGCTGATCAAGTCTTTCCAGGATGGACTGAATGACAGTGTCTACAACACCTGCCTCTTCAAGGGATGTCTCCCTACCCTAGTATGTTTAGGCCAAAGAGATTGAGATTGACTCGACCTGTGTGTGGGGCCATCCCAGCTATGAGTGGCAGAGATCCCTCCTGGAAAAGAAAGAAACCCTGAAGCCACAAGCCTGTGAGAAGGGCCTGCACTGATGCTCCACCAGCTGTTTCAAGTGTGCGAAGGAGGTGCACTGAGCTGCTGAATGCCAAGCAATGTGTCCAGCCCAGAAGACACCCTTGAGACCCACCAAGAAGCCTGCTAAGCAAGCTCAGAGAACCCGAGAGATGGCCCTGGAGGGAGTGGAAGTCATTGAGTTCACCCCATCCCCCAAAGTTGGCAAGAATACTCCAACTATCCCAGCCGAAGGTCTGATAGACAGCAATACCAATTCTGATGATGACCCCTTGGTAAATAACCCAGTGACTATGTGACTTGGTAAATAACCCAGTAACTATCTCCATAAAACTGGTGGTCCCATCCTCAGGGCGAAAGGGGAACTTGGTAGCCCACCTGGACTCGGGTTGCACCAGATGCCTGGTCAGCCCTGCCCTAGTGGAGAAACTAGGTCTAAGACTTAAGCAGATTAAAGTGCTTGTGGCTTTTTGCCATTTGGATGGCTCAGTAGTGGTAGAGGGCCTCCAGCAATGTTCATCACTGAGCCAATAGAATTGAGAATGGGGGTGCACACAGAAACCTTAAGCTGTATTGTGGCACCTGGTATGGAGAGAGCCCTCGTACTAGGCTTGGCATGGCTACTTACTTAAACTGGAGGAGGAGGATGTTAAACATTCAGCAAGCAGCCCAAAAGGGGGGGGCTAGAAAAGAGACTTAAAATCCCTGCCACTAAGTTGCTGTGGGTGAAGCCAAGAAGGGAGGTGGGAACTGCAATGAAGGAGCACTTCAAAGGCAGTCCCTAGATCCCTAAAGAATTTTGGGACTTATTTTTAATGAAAAGGGATCAGATGCATTCCTCCCCATTGGCCAACTTACTGCTCCATAGAAATCATACCAGGGGGCTGAGTTGCCCAAACCCAAACTGTAGTCAATGACCCCTAGAGAATTAGAGAAATTAGAGGAATTGTGAGTGTTCACAGACAAAAACCTGAAGTGCGGCATCATACAACCTCCCCCCCCCCCCATACCACAAGTGGCTGCTCTGGTGTTGTTCAGGAAAAAGATAGATCCCTTCATCTATGCATTGATTATTGCAGGCTAAACATTGTTTGCGTTGAAAACATCTACCCACTGCTGGTGAAGGATATGCTAGCCCATTTGGCCAAGGGGAGAATTTTTACCAAACTGTGGGAGCTGTACAACTGAGTTAGGATCAAGGAAGGCAATGAGTAAAAAACAGATTTTAATTACTCCTTGGGGTGTTTCCAGTTCCTAGTTATCCCCTTCAGACTGCAGGATGTCTCTGCTGTATTTATGCAGCTGATAAATGAAGTGCTGCATGATCAAAGAGGTTTTGGTCTAAATAGATGACATTTTAATCCATACCAAAATTATGGCAGAGCATCTAAACTTGGTCAGGGCTATGCTCAAAAAGCAGCCCAATTGTATGCCAAACTGTCTAAATGAGAATTCCACCAAAGTAGAATTGACTATCTAGGGTATCACACTTCCCATGAAGGAATAGAAATGGACTCTGAGCAACTACAAAACTTCCTGGGATTTGCAAACTTTTACTGTCAATTCGTCTCATCATTTTCCCAGATAGCCCTCCTCATCACCAACCTATTAAAGAAAAAAAGGGAAGGGAAAGCCCAAAACTAGGCAGCTGCTGAAATGGACAATGGAATGCCAAGCAGCATTTGAAAACCTCAAGTACCTGTTCACAGCAGAACCAGTGTTGAAACACCCAGACACCAGTGCCCCCTTTGTCATTCAAGCAGATGCTAATGATGTGGCAGTGGGGGCAACGCTCCTGGAGAAAAATGAATGGTGGGGGGTTCCTGCAGTCCTGTGCCTATTACTCCCAAAAGCTTATCAAAACCAAACTTAGGTGGGCGGTTTGGGAAAAGGAGTGTTCTACTTCCTGGAAAGGGGGAAAACCTCTTTCGAGATGCAGGCTGACCATAAAAACTGACCACTGCAAATCGTCATCCAAGAAAGTCTGCTGAGCTCAGTACTTTAACTGATTCAATTTCATACTGCGGTATCTCCCAGGACAGTGGCCCCCAACCTTTTTCGAACCAGGGACCGGTTTCACGATTATTTATTCTTCCACGGACCGGTACCTGAGTAACGTGAGACTCCACCGCCATCAGGACGGCTCTTCGTTCGAAGCTGCCCCCCCCTTCGACGAAACTAAAGCGCGAGCACCCAAACGCCGCTTTCCAACTGAAAAACCAGAAGCACTTTCCAACCAAAAACCCGGAAGCAACCGAAAACCTGGAAGCGCTGTTGAAACAAGATGGCGGCGCCCAAGCTTTGCAGCCCGGTAAAAAATGATCCACAGACCGGTACCGGTCCGGGGACCGGTGGTTGGGGACCCCTGTCCCAGGAGACGGGAACTTCCTAGCAGATGCCCTATTCAAAGCCAGAAATAATTAGACCAGTTATCCTATCCTGGCAATTGGCAGTTCCAGTCACCGTCAGAGGGCAAACTAAGCTAAAAGGCCAGGTAGCCAAGGACCTAAGGGATGCCTGAAAAGAGCACTAGGGAAGGACAAGTGGTTCCAAACCTATAAGGGTGAATGTATGATGCAGGATGGCTTAGTTCAGGTGGGAACCAAATTATACATTCCTGAAAGTCAATGATTAATGGCCCTACAGAAAAGCCATGATTCAAAAGGAGTGGGACCTTTTGACTTCATCAAAACCTTGTACTTGGTTAAGCACCAGTTTTGGTGGATGTCACTAAAGAAGGACATAGAAAGTTATATAGCTAGCTGCCCTATTTGTACTGCTGCCAAAAAACAGCAAGGAAAAACGCCAGGACTTCTCCAGCTGGTGGCAGAGCCACCCGGGAGGGCTGGAATGAGGGGGAAAATCTATAACTTTTCAATCAAATGGAGTCAAGGGTCCTTCTTTCCTAAGAGACCCGACTGAGATAGTCTGACAGTCAGAATCTCCATGCTTATAACATTAATAGAGCTAGAATATGGCATGTACATTGTTGCCAAATGACATAGCCTAACAATAAAGAGACTGAATTAGTAAATTCCACCTTTGGATGTTGCCTCCACCATGAAGTTGATCATCAGGAAACCATCTATTCAGCATCACCACCCACATTTACAATAGGAATATTTTTGTGACATATTACATGATTTTTTTAAAATATAGCCCATTATAATATTAACATCACTGGCAATGCAAATTAAATTCCTTATCTGTTGTTAAATGTATACCTTTCAGTGATGCCCAATAATGATTTGGAATCTCTTTTAAAAGATTACTGGTAGCAATGAAGCACAGCTTACAACAGAAAGTTGTAAGAACATAAAAATATTCCTGTTCTTAATATTTAGATTCATTGCCATTAGTCGCATGAAGAGATGAAATACAGTGCTCTTGCAAGAACAAATGGAAGCCAATAGCTTTTAGAGGTCAGCAAAGATCTTCTGCTATGCCCAGAATTTAGAGTAATCTTCTCTTTACATGGTTTCTTTGTATATGTGGTACAATGGCTTGTTCTGTTACTTATTTTAAAAAGGATAGTTCAGTGTAACTGGAGAGCATCAGGCAGGTAAAGAGTCTAAGATGATTCATTCTCTATTTATAGTTCTACCACTTGCAGAACCTTATACAGCAAGACAACACTGAATGCTTTCTTTATGTGATAAAGAATCTATGTGACATTGAATTTATCCTTGACATAGTATAGCAAGGACAATCAAGGAGAGGGGAAAACCATTTTCTTGCATAAGGTAGAAGAGTAAATATCACCTTATTCTCACTTCCTGCCAATTTCACGTTAATAGGCACTGTATCTAATGCCAATCAACTTATTTTGTCATCATAGGCAGAACGTTGCACAGACATTCTTTTTCTAACACGAAAAACATAATAATATATTAAATCACTAATTTTCTGTCCTTTCATGAGACCCCAAATCAGGTACCCCTGATTTTAATGGTACTAAAAGCAAGTCTAGCTTTGATTGAAATACAGCCGGTATCAAACTCATCTACAGATTTTTCATTACTATAAGACTTCTAATTAGAACTGGTTATACATTATGAATAATTAGATTCCATAAATATTTCCTGAATATGCCACCCCTAAATTGGAGGGAAGGGAAGAACTTCCTGAGCACAGAAAGATTGCATGTCATTCTGATGCTGTTAGAAGTTTTCTCTGTGACATGCAAGGTTTCAACACATAAAGAGTCTAAGATATGGGGTACTGTATATATTAAGTTCATCTTTTGCATATTACATGTAGGATGATCTATATGACGACATTTTGTAATGTACAAAACCGAGTATTTGTAATGATATAATAATATGTTCTGTTTATGTTCTTCCCAAAATGATTCATTTCAGAAGAATGCAGACAATACAGTATTTCTTGCTGTAAAGCATGCATCCATTGTTTACCTGTAGTCCAGCAGCCTCTCCATAAGACGGGTTACAGTGGCGATTAATGAAACACCACTTTCTCTCCATGTTTCACGTTCAATTTTCTTCAGCAGGCTAGAAGGAATGAACCCAGAGCAAAATATCAGCATTTATTTTTACCAGTCTCCATAACAACCAATTTATACTCAAAGGTATCTAAAATGTCTTAGCAATATCTGTTCATTTTAATATCTGTTATTTTATACAAAACACAACCGCAAACATTGTCTTACCTGGGATAAGGACCAAAAAGTGGAATTCTACTCCAGGAAGCATTGACAAGGCAAATTGATTTTTTAAGGTTAGCCAACTCCAACTCAACATAGACAGAAATACGTTTATACATATGTGTGTGCCTCTATGTACGTTTGCATGCAAGTGTGCATATACAGACTCACACATGCAGAAAAAAATACAAATATCTATCTATCTATCTATCTATCTATCTATCTATCTATCTATCTATCTATCTATCTATCTATCTATC